TGCCCCTTGGTTATGAAAATATGATGCCTGTTTTGGCTGCAGTGATGCTCTGATCGATGACTTTATCACCTTCGTTTCGCAGGGTCAGAGTACAGATCGGATGGAGTCTCACGAAGAAGCGCTCAACATCTTGCAGCAGCCGATGGCTTTGGGTTACTTTGTCTCCACAGCGAAGGCCGGACCGCTGCCCGACTGGTTCTGGTCAGCCTGCCCCCAAGCCAAGAACCAGTGCCCACTCTTTCTCAAGGTGACTCATATCTGTACTACTAAAATGATATGTTTATGAAGTCTTGAGTAATCACAATAATGCCGTTCTTCAACAAAATGCCTCTTTGTCTTCGTTGCTCTGACCTATCGACAGTGCTGCTTGTTTACTGGTTAAAGAATACTGACTCTTTTACATCAGTTGATGAAATAATGAGATTTTACAACTCTACATGCAGATGTGTTGAACCTGAAGACTCTGATTTCATTTGTCTCTTTCTTTTCCAGGCCTCTCTTCACCTGCACGTGTCTTCTGTCCAATCAGATGAGCTTCTGCACAGTAAACACTCCCACCCCCTGGACTCTAACCACACCTCTGATGTGCTCAGGTATGAACTGTAACCAAACTCAATTTTTTAATAATTAGAAAGACATTTGTTTCACTCCCAGCTTTATTAACATTTCCATGTCCTCCTCCTTCATGCCAGATTTGTTCTAGAGCAATATAATGCCCTCTCCTGGCTGACGTGCGACCCTGCCACCCAGGACCGGCGCTCCTGTCTGCCTGTTCACTTTGTGGTGCTCACCCAGATGTACAACTTTATCATGAACATGCTCTGAACTCTAATGGGATCAAACTGCTGAGATTTGATTGGAGGGATCGCTCAGACATGTTGTGGATTTCCTGCTACAAAGACACCCCGACACTCGAAAGGACCTCACACTCCATCAGGGTAAATGTGGACGAAGCACCCTCCTCTTCCTCCTCGTCCTGGTGTATCTCTCAGAACTCTAACTGGAAGTTTCCAATGAATCAATCAGATGCCAAGAATCCATTTTATCACTTTGGATGATCAAGGGACATTTCATAAAGGAGAAAAATGTCTTTTTAATGACTGTAGATTGCAATCTATGAGATTTTATCATAATGAAATGCCTGCATATATTATTTATTGTAAGTTTTTAAATGTGGAATTTTTAATGCTTAATATCTTTTATATATTACAAATCCTAGAGGGTGTGTACATCTCACTGTACAGGAATTGGTATCAAAAGTGTAATTTTTCTCAAATACAAAACGAAAATCCTGTTCAAGTGAATTTGCTGTAGATTGCTTTTAGAATATTATTTTTTCAAAGGGGTACAGACCTTTCTATTGCCATGCTGTAATAATGAAGTAAAAGCTGGCCTGGGCATTTGTGTCCCACCCAATGAGTGGATGAGACTTACCTCTCTGTCTACTTTGGCTCCAGAGTCTCTTGCACAGTAACTCAGTGAGCTCTGAAGAGGAATTAAAAGGTACATTGTCAGATTATATATTTTATATAACAGATTTAGGTAACTGTGTGTGTATATGTGTACATAGTAATTGTGTGCCGCTACTGATGGTGCAGCTTCTGTTTTAGGAATAAAGTGTCTACCTTACTGTCTTCGTCTTTATCTTTGTAGCTGCTTGCAGCTGTCATAGTCTTTTGTATATAAATACAGCCTCAGGTGAACAACAGCGCTACATGTGGCATGCTGCCTCATTATTTGACAAAACCAGTGTGTAAAAAAAAAAAATAATAATAATAATAATAATTACATACTGACTGTATCCAAAGGAATTAAGAGGACAAGAAGCAGTCAGTCAAATGTACTTATTTAGTGATTGTCAGCAAAACGGAAGAGTGTTGGACAGTTTGCTGGTTTGGAGTAGTGATGTGTGTTAAAATGATACTGAGGAATAAGGACATCAACGGTGCTCTTAATGAACTAACCATCAATCTGGAAATGGCCTTAATATTTTTCTCAAACAGTGAAAAAAGGGGAAAGTGTTCAATACAGTATTCACAAATTCAGCCGAGCAATGCTCAGAGAAACTGCACAACACAGGCACTACCTCTCAGAGTGTAAAGGCCTCAGCATGTTAAAGTTCATGACAGCACTGTTGCCAGAAAAGTCAGCAGAAAGTCCCTTGTCTCTAATAACAACATGGCAGCACAGCTCAGGTTTGCAAAGTTGCATCTGAATAAATTAGAATGAAGTGGAGGTGCTCAGCTGTAACAGACAGGGCAGAATATCAGCCTCACACTAACTTAAGCACAGTGGTGCTGATATGGGGTTGTTGGCCGGTCACAGGGCCTGGGTAGCGGGGCTATGACAGAGAACTAGGGGCACAGAAGGGGAAAAAAGATTTCAGATTAAAGTCTAAATACTTGCTAAGAAGCTGTCTTGTGATATAAATCTTCTCTACTGCACGAGGCTGACCATCAGTTTTCTTTGCGTCTATCCGCTGTCAGCCGTCTCATGTTGCGCAAATCTGCCAACTTTTCCAGGTTTATTTGGGTTTTTCCTTCTGACCAGATGCAGCTTTTTGCGCCATCTCTTCCAAGCCATTATTACTACACTGTGTTTATGTGTTAAAAGATAAAATAATTTCTTTGTTATTGAAACTGATTCTGAAGGGCTTCACAATTCTCTAAATATTATTTCGACTTTATTTGCAAAAAGAGCAATGGCATTTTTTTTCATAATGTGTCCCTAACGTGCCTTTGTAGTCCAATAGCTAAAGCTTGGCCCAAATTGGGTCATCTTAAGGTTATTGTCAACAGTGGTTCTATAAGCTTCTGAATCATGGGGTAGGTAAGAATAAAATAGAATTAGTCTAGGAATTTAAAACTAATAATAACTAAAATATTAAGCAACATATATACATACACACATATACATATACATGCTGACACTTTATATTTATTTTACGTCTAAAGCACTTTACACAAGAAAAAACAGGTGCAAATCAGAAAATCAAAGTGAAGAATGAGCATTACCATAAAGGCAATTTAGGCATGAAGCTGATCACTGAAACCCAGAAAGGCTCTCTGAGAAAATGATGTGTTAACCTCCTGAGACCTGAGCTCCTGTTTGCATGGGAGGCGAGGTGAAATAAGGTGCAGAAAGGTCTTAATAAATAACATTTACAGAATGTTTTAATCTGAACTATCCAGGGGAGAAAAAAGACATTTTTAATTTTAACACAATGTTTATCAGTCACACTGAAATCCTTAAAATATAATTAATCTCTGGAGTAAGGCATGTAAGTAATGAACAATAACAGGTTTCTGAGAAAGAGAAACTGAAAATTTAAACAGAAAGGACTCTCAGGTATATAAACAGTGGCACCAAAACGGTTAAAGTGGTTAACCACAAATGGTTCAGTGAGAACTTGGAAGTTCCTGTTTTGGCCTCCACCTCTGAGTTTTTCTTCTCTCTGCACTTTGTGTTTGTCTGATAGTTCTGCAGAAACAGGAACATCATGAGGACACTGCGGGCCAATAACGGTTCAGATAGAGGATAAAGCACATGATCATTTAAATATGTATTTTAGCAATAATAGTACCCAATAGTATTACAATGCCATTTGTAATAGTATTACAAATGGCTTTTTATGAGAGCTCCTAAAATCTGACCATTAGAAAAAGCATGTTGAATAATAATATGGTTATTGGCGCCCTCTGGTGGAGACAAAATGTAATGTGTCTAAACACTAATTCTTGTGCTGCCCACACAAACCTTCAGTCAAATCTCTGATCATCAAACAAGCATATATGTGAGCATTTCTTTTCTTCTTCTTTCATGTGACCATTGTAGGAGTCGCCTCAGTGGAACTTCTATCTCACCTTATTCCTAACGGCCTCCTCTATCATGCCAACCCTCCTCCTTCACTGCATCCATGAATTTCCTCTGTGGTCATCCTCTTCCTCCTCCTCCCCCCCTGGCAGATCCATCTTCAACATCCTTTGTCTAATAACTGAACTAATCCCCCAAACCTCAATACCTGACCTAAGTACTCGTCTTTTTCGAGTGAAGCTAAAGACACAACAAAAAGGTCTGAAAAGGAGGAATATCATTTTTTAAATGTAGGATTTTGCTTGATCAGTTGAGTTTCTCTTTAAAATGTTAAACTTCACTATAAAGATGACCTTTAGGATCCAAACGGTGATTTTAAATGAGGAAATCTGTTCCATTTTGAAACCAGTCTCAAAGGATTTTATGGAAGAATCAAACAAAAAGTATCCTACAGGATTAAAAGTTTAAGGGGTGCAACTTTTAAAATCACGTATTTATATTTATTTAAAATGTTTAAATGTCGTGAGAATTTCACTTAGTACAAGTATTTGTTAGAAATGAGCTCTTATTGCCCACCGGCAGTACCCTCGCTGCCCACGAGAGGGCAGCGGCTCACTGTTTGTTCATTACTGTCCTAAAATGTGTATTTATCAGTTTTGTTTTTTTTTGTTTTTTTGGGGGGGGCATTGGGGGGGGTCCTTTAACACCTTTTAATACCATATAGAAGGCAGTTTCATACCAGTATGCCAGACTTATGGACTGAAAATATGAAAATGTGACAAAACAAAAACAAATATGATTTAAAGTAATTTATGCAGCTCATTTTCCCCCAGTGGAGTTTAATAATCCCTTATATTCTGTAAATGTACAACTGCTTCTCACAAACATAAGCACCAGTTATTAAATGAACAAGGCATGCAGGCACAAAATAAATTCAACTCAGTGTAAACAGGTACATGTGAAATACTTGCATCAATGAAGTGAAATGCTTAAATGAATTTAAGGTTCAAATGATAATTTAATAATACTGTGACGTTTGTTTGTTTGACAGGGAACTGCTTGCAAAACGTCGCCGTAACTGAGATCCCTCTAACAACTTCCAGTGTTCCTGTACAGCTGTGGAGGACAAAGAAGGCCACATTTTACTTCCTAAAAACAATAAATAACTTAAGTATAACTAAGTACCTTCAGCCTGCATTTCACTTTCCTAGTATACTCATCTGGGCTGTTGAACCAAAATCATGCAACTTCAGTGTCACACTTTTCAGCCTTGTGGCCTTTTTTGCAAGTTGTTATTTTTAGGAGCTCATGAGTTTGCATGTTTCATGTAAAGTTACTTCTCATATTGTAGATTTTAATCAAGCTAATTATAATAATGCACTAGATGACAGAAAGTAAATGTTATGTACTAGACAGATTGAACAAACAGATGAAACTAAAAATGAAACCTAAATGCAGAAGCAGTGTCAAAAGTACACTCAGGATTCAGCAGCAATAGCTTGAAGTAATCAGTTTAACAGTCTCTCACATGGTTGGCTCAGGAACTTTTGCCCACTCTTCTTTACAGCAATGCTTCAGTTCATATTTATGTGTACTGGTTTATGCACAGGTCTCTTTAAGGTCCCACCACAGCATTTCAACCAGGCTGAGGTCTGGACTTTGACTCAGCCGTTGCAGCACCTCGATTTTCTTCTTTTTCCAGACATTTTCCTGTTGGAGCAAGGCTTTATCAGTCAGATACATGGATTTGTTGGGGCATCCACTCCTGGGAAAACTCCAGTATTGTGTTAACACACACCTGAAAGCTCCAGACCAGAAACAGACAACCATCTGCTTTGATAGAGGTGCCCAGACCTGCTGAGGATCGGTTAACCAAGTGCATTCAATAGGCAGCACCCAGCTGCTACTTACCCTCGCGATTCCTGTGGAAGCAGGACTTTCTTTTCTTGTTTTGGCTTAGTTTGTGCTAAATAAATAACTAAAAGTTAACATTCTGCACAAATAATAATATGGGGGAAGCTCATTTGGCGATTTAGATTTCAAATCACCATTTCACAGGCTCTGCAAACTAACACAGGTTTGTTTAATCAACCACCTGATTGGTGCCCAGGCTCACACTGGGCAGAGCTGTGAAGGGAATTTTGTGTAAATACAAATAAAAATATATAGAAAAGGATTCTATAGGATTATTCTAAAGAAACAAATCTGTTTTAATCAGTGAAAGGTTTTTAATAGCTAAAGTAGTCTTTGTAGCTCCATTCTGAAGAAGCAGCTTTAAGTTGTCTAATTAGTCTTGGCGCTTGAGGTTAAAAAGGGCAATAGATCGCTCGCTGAGTGAGTAATGTTCAGTGCAGGAGCAGCTTTAACCCTGCCCACACTAACCGGATTTGGATGGTTAGTGAGAATGGAATTAGCTAATCGAGGAGAACATGTCATCCCAAAGCCTCATCCAATCATCGTCTTATGTTCTGCTTAATGGGATCCAATTGAAGGGTAGCACAATTTGTCTGGGGCCATTTGGGACATGGAGCTTGAGCCAGATGACAGAATTCAAAGAATCCGAGTATTTAACCCCATTTCATGTGGAAAGCCGAACACTGGCGCTATACTGGGAGTAGGTATGTTCGGAGCCAGCCAGTAGATTTTCTTATGCGGATGATGGTGTCATATTAGCACTGACGCTGCTTCCATGTTGAGCCTCACAGTAACATCATGTGACCGCATGCTTCTTTCTGGCTGAAACTCTGTGGCAAAGTGGGGCAACTGATAGATTTTTACAGGGTAACACCATTTTCTGGATGATTCCAGCTTGTGTT